ACTTCCCCCTGTAACCTGCTAGTCAGTGGGCCATGTGGGGCTATCCCTGTTCTTACCTTTATATTCACCTTTAGGCCAATCTGACTACACTGTCATATCTTTCCAGAACAGTAAGAATCCAACTGCAAAATCACTAATGGATAATGTAGTTTTAAATGAAGGGATCTGTAAGGTCCCAGGAAGGGGCTTCAGTACTTCCTACACAGAACCCTCATCTCTCCTCTCTCCCCACCTCATTATGGCAGGTATGGCCACCCCTCTCCCTCACTCCGTTTCTTCCCCTATATCCCGCAGCTGCCCTCTAGTCAAATTAGCTCTCGGTCTCCTCCTCCATATCTCCTACTCTGTCTCTCTAATCCTTTCAGCTGCCATTTCCTTCCGAAACTATCTCATCCCAACAGAACTCCTTAAAGCCCTTCATGGCTACTCACCGCTTTCAGTAGAATCCACACTCCAGAACATGGTCTACTAGGCTTCGCAAGCCCCAGCCCCAGCTCCTTCTCCTCCATCTCCCCCACTTGAACCCTCTGCCCCAGACATACCATAGGGTAGTGGGGATCACCCCTGGTCTCCTGTGCTCTCTTCTATGTGGGCGATCTGTCATGCTCCCCTTTCTCCCTATGATTAACTCCTACTGTCTTTCAGGGCTCAACCTAAACATCTCCTGGAAGCCTGCCTTATAATCTCTAAGACTGTTAGGTGGTCTCACAGCAGTTTACCCTTATCACAAATGTGCTCTCAACGGCTGTTTGAATAGCAGCTTGAATATACACTTCCACGACAGAATTGTATTACTGCATGCCTTGGGCCTCTTAGAGGGCCTCAATTATAGCGTTGTACTCAATGATACTGAGTAACTAGATAAACAAAAGCTTAAAAGCATGTTCCTGCCTAGGGTCTGTGGCCTTAGTAGAGAATGGAACCCATTAGCCCCTTAAGCATTAAGCCCATGATTCTGGCCTTGTTTGTGTTCTAACCTGCAAAGGTTAGTACCTGGGTTCACAGAAAAAAAAAAAAAAATCCACCTTTAGGGTTCCATGGATGATCATAAATGCCCCCTAGCAATTTAGCTGTGTTCCTTCTAATTCTGGAAGGCTGTACTTGGCCCTATCTCCATATCAGGGCACATTTTCTAAGCTAGACATGAACCCCTCTGGTGATTGCATGCTGTGAGACTGCACAATATAAGCTGAATCATTACTATTTATAAGCAATCTTCCACCTTGAGTCCTAGTAGGCTACTTAGCTGACTCCACTTCTCTCCTAGGAGATAACCAAATTGTCTCCAACCACCATTTTTGGGGGGGGTCCTTCCAGGCAACAATTATGTAGAAGTGGTAGGAGTCAGATAGTGCTATTAACACACCTAAACACACCCCCCAAATGGGGAGGCATCTGGACTTCTGGATGCCTTTAGCATGTGTAAGCTCCTGTAAGGTTTTGTACTTTGACTCAAGATCGTATTTGGCCAAGGCTCTTTCCTGCTTGACTTCTGAAGGCTAGCAAAGAACAAATAGAAACTTTACATAATCCAGAATACAACAGATGGTTCTGTTTTATTTTAGAAATAATTTATTGTGCTTTATTCCAATTATAAAAGTAGTACATGCTAATTACAGACAATTTGATAAATACAGAACAGCATAAATAAAAATATAGAAATCATTTCCAACAAGAGATATCTCCACAAACATTTGGAAAGTTATTTTCTTCTATGCTTTCTCATTACAAGCAATGAATATATATGTGTGTGTGTGTGTATATATATATATATTTTTTTAAGGAACCTCCAATGAGTGTGTGTGTGTATTCCCTTGAACAGAACTGGATAGTACTGCTCAAATTTTGTTTCCCTTTTTTTTTTTCAGAATATAAAAATTGCAGTAGTTTGCAGTAACTATTTTTAACTTTACAGAGATGTATAAGGTCTAAAGTGAAAGTTCCCACAACTGCATTCTTTGGACACAACTGGTATCAACCAATTTAATGGATTCCTTGAGAACATATACTTACATGTGTCCAATGTATTTATTAAACATTTTTTTAAATTAAAAAAAATTTTTTTGTTATGTTAATCACCATACATTACATCATTAGTTTTTGATGTAGTGTTCCATGATTCATTGTTTGTGCATAACACCCAGTGCTCCACGCAGAACGTGCCCTCTTTAATACCCATCACCAGGCTAACCCATCCCCCCACCCCCCTCCCCTCTAGAACCCTCAGTTTGTTTTTCAGAGTCCATCGTCTTTCATGGTTCTTCTCCCCCTCCAACTTACTCCCCAACATTTTTTTTTTAAGTATGCTCCATACCCAGCGCAGAGCCCAATGCAGGCTCAAACTCACAACTGTGAGATCAAGACCTGAGCCAAGATCGAGTCATCCACTCAACTGACTGAAGCCACGCAGGTGGTCCTTAAACAACATTTTATTTTTTTATTTTTATTTTATTTTTTTTAAAGATTTTATTTATTTATTTGAGAGAGAGAGAGAATGAGAGATAGAGAGCACGAGAGGGAAGAGGGTCAGAGGGAGAAGCAGACTCCCTGCTGAGCAGGGAGCCCGATGCGGGACTCGATCATGACCTGAGCCGAAGGCAGTCGCTTAACCAACTGAGCCACCCAGGCGCCCCAAACAACATTTTAAATTCATTTTAATTATAACTAAATTACCATGACCTTAATATCCTTCAAAATATCATTTTATAACCATGTAACATTCAAAATTATTATGTTGAACCACTCCCTTATTATCAGGGGTTCAATTTTTTAATTGCACACAATGCAATGAACATACATAATTTATTGTAAGGATTTCTTATTTCCTGATGATAAAATCCTACAAGTGAAATTACTGGACCAAGAGCTATATGTATATTATCAGGACCTGATGTATAACATCAATCTACCTTCCAAAAAGGTTATACACTCAGTAGTTATGCATGGGTGCCTATTTTTTTTTTAAGGTTTTATTTATTTGAGACAGAGAGACAGCGAGAGAGAGAACACAAGCAGGGGGGAGCAGGAGAGGGAGAAGCAGGCTCCCTGCTGAGCAGGGAGCCGGACAAGGGGGGCTCGATCCCAGGACCCTGGGATCATGACCTGAGCCGAAGGCAGATGCTTAACAACTGAGCCACCCTGGCGCCCCAAGGATGCCTATTTTTTTTTTTTTTTTAATTTTAAAAGGCTCAGGGGTGGGGGCGCCTGGGTGGCTTAGTCTGCTGAGCTTGAGACTTGATCTCAGCTCAGGTCTTCATCCCAGGGTCCTGAGTTCAAGCCCCACCTTGGACTCCACGCTGGGCTTGAGGCTACTTTAAAAAAAAAAAAAAAAAAAAAAAAAAAAGGGATGCCTGGGTGGCTCAGGTCATGATCCCGGGGTCCTGGGATCGAGTCCCACATCATCGGGCTCCTTGCTCAGTGAGGAGTCTGGTTCTCCCTCCGCCTGGCGCTCCCGCTGCTTGTGCTTTCTCTCTTTCTCTCTAATAAATAAATAAAACCTTAAAAAAAAAAAAAAAGGCCTCAGAGGTGATATAACCACAAATCAACTACTGTACCTTCAGATTAAATGTTTAGTTTTATTCTCTTGCTATTGCTAGCATTAATGGAGTTCTTGTTTGTTTGTTTGTTTTAGTAATCGCTGCACCCAACGTGGGGTCCAAACTCACAACCCGGAGATCTGAGTCACCCGTGACTGAGCCAGCCAGGCGCCCCTAGAGTTTGTTTTTAACAAGTTTCATACCTGCCCCCCAACATTTATTTTATTTTATTTTTTAAAGATTTTATTTATTTATTTGACACAGAGAGACACAGCGAGAGAGGGAACACAAGCAGGGGGAGTGGGAGAGGGAGAAGCAGGCTTCCCGCGGAGCAGGGAGCCCGATGCGGGGCTTGATCCCAGGACCCGGGGACCATGACCTGAGCCGAGGGCAGACGCTTAACGACTGAGCCACCCAGGCGCCCCCCCCAACATTTATTATAAACATTTTCAGATATACAAAAAGGCTGAAAGAATGGTACACTGAACATACTGAACGCACCGTCTGGATTCTACAGTTAACATTCCGCCGTATTTGCTTTTGTGTATCTGTCCAGGCATCAATCCATAGAGGTTTCTTTTTTTCCCCACAGGTTTCATTTTTAATATACAAAGCTCTTTTTAGATGTCTATCTTTGTAACGTCCCCAGGTTCAGTGCCCTGAACTATGGGAGGTAAATGTGAAAAAGTGCCAAGATGGCAGTCTGCCTGAGCTCCTGAGAGGCTCGGCCCACAGGCTGGGAGCACGGCTGCAGGTTCTAATCCTGGCCCCACTATGAGACCTCAGTTTTCTCACCTGTAATATCGGAATCCCATCATCTTTGGTGAGGATTAAAAACACAAACAGTGGGAGGCACTCTATAGCGACAGCTGAGGTAGCTGAGACTCTTGTACTCCCTCCTAGTCTCTCCTGAATGTCAAGCCCAAGTTCTGGAGGCCATCTCAGGCCCCTCACGCCCATCTTTAGTCCACCTTAGACCCTCAGTTCTAAGCGATTGTAAAATGGGGGCAGGGTCGCCCAGAGGGCTACTGACCTGAATCTGTGGGCCGCGACAGCCCCACCCAGCCCACCGTCCCGGACTCCTTCAGGCCGCAGCCGGGTCAGCCTGCGGCCCGGGCCTGGCTCCCTCCCTCCGGCGCCCCGCCGGACACTGGCCACTACCCGCGTCACCTCAGGGGGTGCTCACAAAAGCCTGTGAGGTAGACAGCGCTACAGAGGCAGAAAACTGAGGCCCAGGAAGCCTGAGTCACTTGCCCATGTCCCGGCCACTTGTCCATGAAGCCGGCGACTGAACTGCCTTCAGAGAATTCTAGAAATCGAACCCAATTCGCCCGACTCCACGCTCTCCCTCTCTTTGCCCCCGGGCCCGCACGCACCTACAGGGGGCGCCGGCCTGCACGCACGCGCAGTCATCGCATCCGCGTCCCCTTTAAGACAATTCCTTTTGCTTCCTCCGACCCCTTCACTTCCGCTCCGCCGTTCCCACAATGCAGTGCGGCTGAGCGCCTCGAAGCCCGCGGGGACGCTGCGGGGGGACCCCGGCTGAGGCGGCGGCGGCGACGTGGGCTGCGGCGGGCCCGCGGCGTCGGGCGGTGCGGATGTCGGGCTGGGCGGACGAGCGCGGCGGCGAGGGAGACGGGCGCATCTACGTGGGGAACCTTCCGACCGACGTGCGCGAGAAGGACCTGGAGGACTTGTTCTACAAGTACGGCCGCATCCGCGAGATCGAGCTCAAGAACCGGCACGGCCTCGTGCCCTTCGCCTTCGTGCGCTTCGAGGACCCCCGGTGAGGCCCCGCTCCGCCCGCCCGCCTGAGGCCGCGGGCCCCGGCCTTCCCTCTTCCCTCTCCCCTCCGGGGCCTCCCCTCCCCCCCTCCGCGCAGACCCCTCACGGCGCCCCCGGGTGGAGGATGAGGCCTCCTCTCACCGCAGGCTCCGGCCGTCCCTTGCTCCGTCGTCACTTCCTCTAGGATTATTTCTTTTTTTTTACTTTACTTGAAAACACAAAAGCTGGGCGTTTGGAGGGCCCCGGCCCGCCCAGACCGGCCTCGGGGATGGTACATACGATCATTCTCTCTCTCACGGCTGGAGAGGCACCCTTCTGGGGAAGCGGCCCGGAACCAGCCGGGAGAGGACTCGGTGAAGAGCAGAAGTGGCCATTCGCCCCTCCCTGCCTACCCCTCCCCCCAGCCAGAACTCGCCGTTAGCGGGGAACAGACTGCGGGAATGTGGTCGCCTTTGGAGGTCGTAAAGGGGTCTCTGTGATGGAACAGATCTCTACCCGCGCGCGCCCCGCCCTGCAAGGCCACGACCTCGTCCTTATAAAAGCACCAGGGATATGGAAAAACTTCTAAAACGGTCTGAGGGGGTCTCTGATTTCACGCCACTCCTCTAATGAGGGAGGCACCGCTAGATGCTTAGGGCCCCAAGCATTTGGAAGCTCTCGATCCCTAAACTGGCTCAAAGGGGGCTCTTTGTGATTTTGCAAACTTTGTCGACCTTGTAGCCAGAAAAGGCCTGGGAACTTTCAAAACTGCCGTTGGTGGTTCTTAGAAGCCACCGCATGGACTGGTCACTGCACTTGGGGGTAAATAAGAGCCCACTCTCTTTCCTAGCACTGACCCAGGGAATGCTTTACCTAGTCTGCGCCCCGCAGGCTTCACCACAAGGACTGTCCATAGGGTGTCTTGCCTACCTGGTGTGGTGGTATAGGGCAGGGAAGGCATCTGAGGACAGGGAGGTAGGAAGCACCCTGAGGCTTTGATGACTGACAAAGCTCATTCTTAGCGCCTTGCCATTTGTCTGAAAAGCGGAAGTAGGTATTTTCACACCTAAACTGGAGAAGGTTACACTGTAACCTTCTGTAACACTTCTAGTGTGTTTTTTGAACACTCACCACGTGTCAAGTACCACTTTAGTAAACCTACAAAAGAGGTAGTGGTAGCCACATTTTACAAATGAAGAAACTGAAGATTTAGAGTTGCTGATAAAAGAGAATGCTAGTAAGGGATCAAGGTAGGATTTGAACCCCCTATGCTGCTCTTTAAAACACAAACTTCTGTATGGTATGCTACATTGTCATCTCTTCCCTCCTTTCTTCCATAATAGAAAAGCTGTCTTTTTGATAACACTAGATGCCAAGTTTCTAGCAAAGCACTGCATACACGGTATCATATTTAATCCTTACAATAACCTTGTGAGATACGCGTATTACATTTAAGAGTCGTGAAAATGATATAAGCATTTACCCGAAGACGGCTACCTAGTCAGTAGCAGAAAAAGGATTTGAACTTGTCAATCAGTATTCAAAGTCTGCACTTCAATCCTAGCAGTTCTGCCTCTCCTTCACTTCATTGTAAATACAGCCAGGGTTGCACTGGTCGTGGTCCTCATTGCTTTTAACCTTGCGACTAGAATATCGATAAGCAATGATGTGCCTGTGACAACTGAATGATGCCTTCATTAGTACATCTTTGGCTCTGCTTGTCCATCCAAGCTCTGAGGCCATTCTTTCAACAATCCAGTCCTGGAGAACCAGCTTGGTTCTCCTAGAGTCCTAGGGAAGACTGAAAGTAACTTCATGGAATATTTCCTCTTTTGGCAAAACTGTACCCAGAGAGTGGTCTTCACAACTTAGTTTTCCAAACTGTGATGAAAAGATACACATGAGAGTTGCGTATTTCTCACAAAACACAAAGCATCTGTCTTTTGAGCCTGATTTTTTTCTTTTGAAGATTTAAATTTTTTTTGAAGATTTTATTCATTTTTTTTGAAGGTTTTATTTATTTATTTGACAGAGAGAGCACAAGCAAGGGAAATGGCAGGCAGAGGCAGAAGGAGAAGCAGGCTCCTTGCCGAGCAGGGGGAGCCTGATGGTGGGACTCGAATCCAGGACCCTGGGATCATGACCTGAGCCGAAGGCAGTCGCTTAACCAACTGAGCCACGCAGGCGCCCAAGATTTTATTCATTTATATGACAGACACAGCAAGAAAGGGAACACAAGCAGGGGGAATGGGAGAGTGAGAAGTATGCTCCCCGCCAAACAGGGAGCCTGATGTGGGGCTCGATCCCAGGACCCTGGGATCGTGACCTGAGCTGAAGGCAGACACTTAACAACTGAGCCACCCAGGCGCCCCTGATCTCTTTTTAAATGAATTTTTCTTTCTAGATACTTAATGGTACTGGGCCTTGTTGAAGAATATTAAAGGACTAGTGTGTGCTGGGCATTTTGAGAAACTGCTCACAGGGTTAGAGAAATAAATACACTGGTGAAATCAAATCCTCTGTCAACATTTTTTTTTTCTAAATTAGTCCTCTTATAAGTCATCTATTTACCCCTTTATTATCATTCCATACCTAGAAAACCGTGTGTGTGACAGTTGTAAAGTTTAATTCTAATATCATGAAAGGTCTTCACACAAAAGCAGTAGTGCATCAAGACTTTTATTTTTCTGACTCCAGGTTTCCCTTTTATACTTGTTCCTCAGGTCCCTCACTGGGAAGTCAGCCTCTTGAGAAGCACTAACTCCAAACCTTTTTTTGCAGAGATGCTGAAGATGCAATTTATGGAAGGAATGGTTATGATTATGGCCAGTGTCGGCTTCGTGTGGAGTTCCCCAGGACTTATGGCGGTCGGGGTGGGTGGCCCCGCGGTGGGAGGAATGGGCCTCCTACAAGAAGATCTGATTTCCGAGTTCTTGTTTCAGGTATGTTCCTTTAAAACTGAATGAGATGATGCATGTAAAATACTTAGCACACAGTCTGGCCTCCAAGAAATGTTGTTATTCTTCAGTGCATGGGACATGTGGGGCTTTCTTTTCAATAGCCTGTGCAGTCTGAAGCCCTGCCATCTTGCCACTGAGGCAGGTATCTTGCAAATGAAACTGCACTGGTAGTGTAGCCTTGGTAGAACATCAACTTGCTTCTTATAAATTTTCTAGTGTTGAGAGGGAAGATGAGGGCAAAACCCTGTGAGCTAGAATTCTATAGAGATGTTTTCTTTTGTAATGTACTCGGTATCAGACTTGGTAGACATTCCAGGAATCAGATTTGAACTACTGCCTAGCCTTGGATGCTGAAAAAGGCCAGATTTTGGTGGTGGCTTTGGAATTATATAAAAAAGAAAACAAAAGAACTTGGAGTTTTAGGGGTTGTACTGCAGAATAGAGAATGAAATGTGTAGTGTTGACAAGTCATGAAATGCCAAGCTCAGAGGTTTATGCATCTTTTCAAAATACTAAAACAGTGGTAAAAACCTGGGGCCTTCTGCACACTGCAGGGGCATTTTAGGACCATGGTGGAGTGAAATATATTGAGAAACCTGGCACTTTTTTAGATATGAATGTCACACAGTTACAGCAGACCCCCATGGTACTTAAGAGTGATCCTCTCAGTATCTGCCTATCTTGTGTCCCTTTGTAATTTTTTAACCCCAGAACTCTATTCCCTCCTTCAGGATGTCATACATATCTTTTTTTCTCTCCATGCTGCTCTGAAATCCTGCTTAGAAAACTATTAGGAAATGGCTGCAATCCTGAGCTGTGAGCGGTAAACACAGCCTTTGAGAGCAGGAGCACATTTCCCTTTCATGACATCAGGTAGGGTTGTATAATTCCCGACTAGTTGTAGCGTCTGAGTCTTACCTTTTCCCCCACTGTATTGAAGAATGTTGGTGATCTTTTGAAAGGTACTTTGTTTAGTTTGTTAGTCATTCACACCTACAAGAAAACAAACTTTAGATTTTTGTTGTGTTGTCACCTTCAGCTACGCCTTGGTTACTTTCACTGGATAGTTTCAAAATTCCCATGTCCTGAGAACCCAGTCAAGCAAGAGATAATTGGTACTGTTAAATTTCATAATGGAGAAAATTAGAACTCAAAGTCTTGGGAGTTTGATATTAAATATGAAGGCTAAAGAAAGGCTGTGAATTCTCAGAGATATTAAATCTGTAATGGGGTGGACTTCTTGCTCTGTTGGAAGGGCTTGGTGTCTTGAAGATTAGCCTAGGACCAACTTCTTATGGTGATTTACCACACATACGTTAGTACTCTTCGCTGGTTTTATGCCCCTTACAATTTGTGATTTGGGGATCCTCAGGATTTTAAAGTAATGATTGATGAAAAGGGGAACCTAGGTATTGCTGGCTCTTAACAGGTCAGTTAACATGGCTGAAGGATATGGCCTTTTATGTTGTCCATGCCTAGGACTTCCGCCATCAGGCAGCTGGCAGGACTTAAAGGATCACATGCGAGAAGCTGGGGACGTCTGTTATGCAGATGTGCAGAAGGATGGAATGGGCATGGTTGAATATCTCAGAAAAGAAGACATGGAATACGCCCTGCGTAAACTGGATGACACCAAATTCCGCTCTCATGAGGTGAGTTCCCACCTTCTTTTGAGCTTGCACCTCCGCCACTCCACCTGAAGCTGACCTAGCAGACATAGCAACAGGCCATGTGTTTGCCATTTGATGACCTCACAGTACCATTAAAGATCTATCTTAAGTGGATAAAGCCAAGGAATTCATCATGCCCAAACCCAGGGTCATGACAGAGAAAAGTCTGCAGTCATAGTGTTTTTAACCTGGAGAGAATACTGTTGCAGTCTGTCATAATGTGGTGAGCTGTTCTGTGATACCATCCCTTTCACAACTGGCTTAATCTGTAATGTACTTCTGTGAACCTAATTATTATGGTTGTCTCTCCTCTGGGTCTAGTCTGGGCTCTGCAAGCCAACCTCATCATCTCACCTCTCCTAAGGTACTGCTGTTGTGCCAAGTTATCACTTCATTTTTCCTTTCCCAGAGTAATGCATTTTCTTGTAATCACCTTATCCTCAGGACTTAGTTCTTGATGTCTTTCCTTTCAAGAAGGCAGCCGCTGCTTTAGATCTCTCAATTTGATTCACATGTTGACTACCCCTTTGATATCACTGAGATAAAGACAGCAGACCCAACTGGACATTGCTTTTTCTGGTTATCTTGTCTTGAGTTACTGTGGGGTTTAGGTATGTCTGGGGTCCCTTTCTTTCTCTAAGGATTCATATAATTCCCTAATTTTATGACTTGGAAAGTACACAACAGTGCTTTTGCTCAGACTGAATTTGGAGCAGAAACAAAACAGGATCTGGTCCTCAGTTATACTGCAAAGCAGGGCCTCAGTAAGGATAAATCCAATTACTGACTTCACCTAGGGACTTCCGCATCCGACTTCTTTCATCCTAGCATTTTTAGATCCTCTGAGAGTGCTGGCTGAGGGCAAAGGGCACAGGCCAGCCTGGACATGACTCTGCTGCCACTTAATAATTTTTTAGCTGAGCTATGCTCTGAACCTTGGTTCCTCGATATGCAGAATAGGAACAGTAATAGCACTGTCTTGTAAGACTTGCCAAGAAGCTAACTTATGAAGATAACTGAGTATCTAACCCAGATCCTGACACCTGAGAGGTGTTGAATACAGGTTAGCTTCTTCCATAGGTATTTATCCAAAGATGCATATATGAAGTGGCAGAGGATTGAATTGTATGACCTCTGAGATCCTTTCTAGTTCTTAGATTCAGGGGTCAGTGGCAGTAATTCAGGTATGTTAACAGTACTGGGTAGTATTTGAGCATTTACCACATGTGAAGTTGCCATTTATTATTTGTGTCACACTGGAACAGATAAGAACATTATTTTCCTCATTCTTGAAATGAGCTGGTAAGCATACCTACCTCATAGCATTATTGTGAGGGTTTAATGAGATAACATCATGCCAGAAAAACAGTAAGTGCTCAGTACTTAACTATTATTGTTAGGTATTAGTGTGCTGTATTCTTCGGGGTCTTATTTTTTCCTGTACTCTTTATGTTTAAATTGCAGGGTGAAACTTCCTACATCCGAGTTTATCCAGAGAGAAGCACCAGCTATGGCTACTCACGGTCTCGGTCTGGGTCAAGGGGCCGTGACTCTCCATACCAAAGCAGGGGTTCCCCACACTACTTCTCTCCCTTCAGGCCCTACTGAGACAGGTGATGGGAAATTTTTCTTTATTTTTTAGGTGAACTGAGCTGCTTTGTGCTCAGAATCTACATTCCAGATTGATGATTTAGTGTCTTAGGAAATTTTTTTAATTTTTTTTTAAGGAAATAAAATACATAATTTCTACCAGGGCCATATTGGCAGTGAAGCATTTTAAACTGCAGAAATTGTGGTTTTGGTTCAGAAATAAGTTGTATATTTTTCACCCCTGATTATGGGAAAAAAATCAGTGCTGTGTCTTTGTGGGTTGCTCTACTATGGAGATCAGCAGTTACTGTGACTGAGTCGGCCCATTCTGTTTAGAAATATATTTTAAACGTTTAGTAATTGACATGTGTGGTTGTCCTTGATTAAGTTAATGGATTTCACCAAACAGGTACACTGGTTAAAAAGAAAAAAGTAATTGAGTTGTAGTAGCAGCTTATACCCAGTTGGTAAGGAGCAGAAGTGGATAACTATTTGGGGACAAAGATAGTCGCTATGTTGGTGGTTTGAGAATTTCAATCCCAAGAGTTGCTTCAGGATTATCTTATAATTCAAGGCCAAGCTTATAAATAAAGCTGCCTTGAAGACGGGAGCATTTAAGACAGGGCAAAGGAATGGAAAGAATAAAACAGACTTTTTAAAGTCAGCAGCAGCATAAAGATCATTGGAAGATTTTAAAACCAAATGCGGCAGTTTGGAGGGGGGGGAATCTCTTTAAATTTTGGTTCTATCACTTTTATCCATAAATCTGTTTCATTTATCCTTGGTATCTGAACTTTCTTAAAACACAAAACAAACCAGAAAACTCCACTATCTTGGATTCTACTCAATTCAGTAAGCATGGTGGGGGTGGGGAAGTTACTTTTTTCCAGGCCTGGGCTTTTTTTAAAGAGCCACTTTATTGAAGTATGATTGACATGTAAAAAGTTGTACTTCCTTAATCTCTACAGCTCAGTGAGTTTGGGGTTAAGTGTGTATCCATGAAAGCATCACCACCATCAAGGCTATAAACATATCCATCATCTCCCAAAGTTGCTTCCCTACTCAAGATTTATTTGTGGTAAGAACATTTAATACAAAATCTACCCTCTTGGCAAATTTTTAGTGTACAGTACAGTACTGTTTAGCTATCCCCAGGGCTATTTTTGACATAGGTTCTTTCAAGAAAAACTATAGCTGTGGCTAGCATCCCTTTTGCATGTAATCACTTTGTGGGATAGTGGATGATTGTAGGTTAGGAGTTCGCAAGCTGTAGAGTCTACTTTGAATACTCTTCACACCTTAGGAGAAAGTTAGCCTTCTGCTGGGAACAAAGTAGGTACCCAGGGACAAATCTGAATTTGTTTGGTAAAGATACAAGGTTTCTTGGATTGACAGAAACAGCAACTAAAAAGTACAACACACGTCACATAGTGATCAGATGCACTGTCTAATAGTTACATCAACAGAAAAATTCACTTAAGTGCAGTTTGGTAGATAGTCTCTAGAGGAGATAAAGGAGGATTAACATCTTACATACTGAACAGTCTGTGAATAAATACTTGGAAAGTAACAATACCTCTTCCAGTAGCAGTAGGAACTCATTGCCTTGTTTTGGCTAGATTATTTCCCAATTTTGTCTTCAGAGAGTTATTAAAAAATACTTAACCATCAGTTTTTTTTCAGGTGACTGAAGAAAGTTGGAACATTACTGTTCACAGTAACAAAATACTATCTTTGGGCTTCCACGTGTTCACAGGGTACCCATTCCCAGAATAGCTACTCAGATGTGTGAAAAAGGCTCTTGTTCATCCTGCTTTGGCAAAGAGATATTACCTGTTTGAAAACAGTAACAAGAAAGAATGTTATAGTGGAGTCTGCTTCCCAGCGGATTCTACTGAGCTAACTTATCACTTGGTTTGTCATGAAAAATAAGCAATGCAAATAAGTGTAGCTACTACCCTGTTTTTCTGAGTGTCTGAAAGAATAACAGTTGTAAGTGAAGCCTAATAAATGCACACTTTTCAATAAGGAGCAGAGACAGTTTAGCCAGTTCTATGCATATAGGAGTGGAAGGAAAGACTAATGATTGTGAATTCACTTTGTCTCAAGAAGCAAAGTCTGACACAAAGTTCTTTTTGAGAAATAGCATATGTGGATCAATGGCTATGTCTGCTAAAACAGTGACAACTATCAGATTCTGAGAGAGATCCTAAAATCTTTTTTTTCTCTTCACAGTTAATTTGAGGTGGTTTAGTGAATCAGAGGCATGATTAACAGTCGAGTCCACAATTTTCTAAGCTTTCTTTCCCATTCTTGCTTCAAGCAAAGCTTTCCTTTAATTGGCTGGTCTTGGTCAGAGAGGTAACCCTGAGCTGGGGGACTGATGTTTGTCTCTGAGGCTAGTTAGAATGGTTCTCTGAGATGATCGGAACCTGAAGCTGGTACTTGGAAAACCATCTACTACCTGAGTGCTCAAGCTAGTCCCATTCCCAGATATCCAGAAGGGTGCAGCAGGTGTCTGCAGAGGAGATTAAAAAGTTCAACCCACCCAAGATTCTGGATTTTAGTATTAGCCCAGAGTTATTTTAAGTTTTTATTTAAAATAGTCACAGTACATTTTAGAGATGCAAATCTCAACACCAAGGTTGCAAAACGATGGCTCACAGGATGCATCTGGCTTGCAGCTATGTTTTATTTACATGGTATTTATTTTTTTAAATCTTTGAATTAGTTCCCATACTTAAAATTTGGGAAATACCACACACACATGAAAATGCCAGATGTCCGGGTTCTCGGGGAAAATGGGCTCACATTATTGCCAGGCACTGAATGAGAAGCAGTGAGTGTTAGTTGCCCCTTCAGGCAGAGCTTGAGCTCCGGATTTGACACCATATACACACCTCCCCGCCCCAGTCCTGTTTTGTGTATTCCTATTACAGACTGGCCCCTAGAGGTGCATGTGACCCCTCCAGTCTACTGCCACCACCTATACTTTTTTTTCCACTGTTAATATATGTGGGGTTTTTCATTTCACTTTTATTGAGATATCACTGAGATACAACACGGTCTAAGTTGTACAACCCAATGATTTGATATATATATATAGCAAAATGATTACCAGAACAAGATTAATTAACATTCATCATCTCACATAGTTACAATTTTTTCCTTGTGGTAAGAACTTTTAAGATCTACTCTCGTAGCAACTTTCAAATATAGAATACAGTATTGTTAACTATAGTCATTCTGCTGTATGTTGAAGTTTGTACCTTTTGACCACCTTCACCTAATTCCCACATTATTCTTCTTAAAGTACTTTCATGTAGCAAATTTGGACTGTACAGCTCCTACTATATTCTTAGTTCACTGAGGGACAATCTGTTAAGCCACTTTGGGGAACACATACCTGGGGGGGCTACAAAATACTCCTCCACAACTCGATGGGCGTTTTGTAGTAGTTCTTCAGCACAGTTGCCTTCTACCACATTGTCAGATCTCAAGTATAGACATCTACAAAACCAGAAGCTCAAGGTTAACTTCCCAGAAAACACGCTTCTATAGCATGGGTGGAGAGGGTCAAGAATGGGAGAAAATGGAGCAGCATATTCTTTAGTTATGGTCACTACCCAAAAGATGGGAGGAGCTATGGTCAATAGTCGACCAAATAACAATCTATAGTTTATAGATTCTCCACCACTCTAAGAGGTAAGTGGTAATTATTCCTGAGGACTGGTATGTTCAATAAATATTTCTGCATGATTACTATGGGTAAGTTGCTTTTGGTGGAGACAGGTAAGGCAATTACAATATAATGTGTTTAAGTCTAATACGTAAGCAAAGCTTGCCAAGGGAGTAGAAAGGGGCACCTAAACCAGCCTAGGTGAGGAACAGGTACTCAGAATAGGTGATGTCACTGCTAAAGGATGAGCAAGAAACCGATGGATTGGTGGGATGGGAAATGGCCTTCGGGCAGGTGAAGAAACTTGCTCAAGAGTGGATAAGTGCTTAGACAGTAGGTCCAAGTGACGGGACTGGAATTGGCACCAAATAAATTGGTACAGTTCTTGTACCCCTAACATGAACTGTTTTTTCACCAGCAGCCACCTTCAGGGACATGGAGGTGCCTGCCCTTGCATAGCTGAAGAATATTCCACTATTCTCTGGGCCTAGTGGCTTCATTAAAATGTCCAGATGGCAAACTAGTGAAACCAAACAGAGGTTGAACATATCTATGGGGCTTCACTGCTGTTTCAAGGTTTAAAAGTGCATGGCAAGGTATCTGAGCCTGCTTCCAGATACTTGGGCTGAAAAATAAGCAGTCTGCTCAATCACTGATAGGGGAGCAGCCAAGCTCTTTCTACTTTGAGCCAGACAGACTGAGGGCTAAACCTAATGGGACAAAAAGGCAAGGATGTGACATGAACATCCAGGCAAAGGCTTCAGGGGTTAAGTTGTAAGATTCTTTTAGGAAAGGACTTGTTCTGTTTCTTTTGTGGTGCCCACCCTAGGGCTAGACACAAAAGCACTCATGGTACGCAATGTAGAGCGCTGCAGTCTATTCCAGGATCTGGCACTCTTAACTCTGTGTCCTTGGACAAGTATGGATCTTCCCAGACCTTAACTTTCTTGCCAAAAAAGTAAAGGCTGCACTTTTTTTTTTTTTTAACCATATGGGGGCCTATGAGAACTTGGAGAACAAAATAAAAATCCTCTGTAAAGGTGACCATTGGACCTTCTGGAGTTTGTATTTCTGTTGGGTGGTATAACAAAATGGCTAAAAGAGCTTGGGCTCCTGAGTCACAGATAAATTCAAATCTTAGTGGCATGTGTGGCACGTGTACAAGTTACTTATCCTGTCCATGTACCTGTTTCCTTATTTGTGGAATGCTTCATAAAACTGCTGGGAAGATTAAATGTTAAAGAAGATCTGATAATTCTCAGGACCTGCATTCTCACTGCAGTAAGAGGTGGGTGCTGAATAGCACCTGCTCCTTTCAGAAAGAGTTAGTGCACCTGGGCACACCTCAGTCACCACTCCTCATTCAGAATATACCTCCGCACTTAACCTGCTGTAATCACACATTACCTGCCTAGCCCCTACATACAGGAGGCTAATTGCTCCTGGGCACTTGGAGAGTTTGATGAAGTGAGACTCTACTACCACCAACGGGTGGTTAAAAGCTACTGCTTCTCCACAGATGTAATAGCAAATGATTTATTCACTCATTTGATAATCAGGTTTCCTATGTAAGTAATGTTTCCAGAAAAAATTCACTCCCATAAATGCCACACATTTTCACCTAGTTATACTGTTTATGATGGAGTTGTTTGCAGAAGAAACCCACACCTTCCTATTTTCATAAT